GAGAGGGGAGGGGAGGAGAGGAGAGGGGAGGGGAGGGGAGGGGAAGAGAGGGGAGGGGAGGAGAGGGGAGGGGAGGGGGGGGGGGGAGGAGAGGGAGGGGAGGAGAGGAGAGGAGAGGAGAGGGGAGGTGAGGAGGGTCACACCCGAGCACGAGGTGAAGCGGGACGGGGGAAGGGGTGCGCACGCAGCCAGGCGGGGCCCCCAGGATGCAGCGTCTGCAGCTCAGACACCCCACGCCCGCCGCTTCCCGGGCGAGGTCGACGGCACCTCCTCACGAGGCAGGGCGCAGTCACGCGCACCCGACGGCTTCGCTCTCGTGGCACCGTGCCCACCGGGCCAGAGGGTGCCTGTCCTCCCACCCACAAGACCCGCCTTTGTGTATCTTTAAACTTAGGTCCCCTGTCCCGAGGATTTCTGCCTTTCAAAGGCCACCTGTTAAGTAATTCGTTTTCTTTTTTCTTTTTTAAAGTTCATTCATTTTGAGAGACAGAGAGAGCAGGCAGACGCAAGGGGCAGAGGGAGAGAGAGTCCCAAGCAGGCTCCACCCTATCAGCGTAGAGCCCAACGAGGGGCTGGAACTCACGAACCACGAGATCACGACCTCAGCCGAAACCAAGAGTCTGACGCTCAACTGACAGCCCCACCCAGGCGCCCCCATTTTCTCATTTCTGATCCGAGACATCGTCCTCCACTGAAAGTTCGGTAAGAAAGGGCAAAGGTGACATCTTGTGAGGCCCCGCGGGTCCCTTACGGGCAGATGAGGAACATTCACTGGGTGTCTGACAGCTGACCAGCACCCACGGCAAGGACCCTGCTCTGGCTCCGGGAAGCCCAACGTAGCGGACGTCGCGTTGCCAGCTTCCACCAGGTCTTGGTGTTCCTGGCTGGGGAGTGGGCTGCCTGCCCTCGCAGAGCCCACAGTGCTGCCGGCGAGGGGCAGACCCGGGGGGCCTCTCTTGCGGACCTTCAGCCCAACTGGCAGAGACACAGGGTCTCGCTTGGGAGGAAAACCTCCCGTGACCCCGGGGCTTACTTCGCGGTAGTTCTAATCCTGAGAGAGGCTGCCAAGGGCCGGAGGAACGAGACAGATTTCCCTGATGTTCTCAGCAAGGAAAGAGCAGCCGGTGAACGCATGAAGGGCCAAGGGGCGATGGTACAGGCGACAGAGCTGGTCAGGGGAAGGCCAAAGGTGAGAATAGGCTTCCTGGAGCCCGCTGGAGAGTTCCGAGGGCTTCCCCAGCGAAGACTCGTTCCGACCACAAGCTGAGCTAACCGCTCGGAGATGCCATCGTTCTGGGATCAGCACGTGACCCAACCCGCTCAAGTTCCCGCTGAACAAGGCCTCGGCGAGCTAACCGCGCACGGCAGCACCTCCAAGTACCAGAGGGGGACGCGGTCAGCAGGCCTGTCCTGGAAGGGCGGGGAGTAAATACTGCAGCCTCGCGGCTCACGAGGTTTTCGCTTCTACCATCACCGCTGAGACGTGAGGCCGCCCTGAGCGGGCCCCCACGTGACTGGCGTGGCTGGTGTCCCAGCGGAACTGTGCCGTCACGGGTACAGATGCCTCCCAGAGCTTGACCGCTTGCTTACGCTGGCTCAGACGTATAAGCAGAGGCGGCCTCTTCGTTAAAGAGCAAAAGAGAAGAAAATCCTGGGCTCTGTCTTTTGCCGAAAGGGCCTAAGGACTGGCCAGGAGCTGATGATGAGTCGAGGCCAGCGCCTGACAGCGACTCGGTCTGTGCACTTACGCTGCGGGACAGTGGCGCCCCCCCCCACGGCCGTGGGCACGACGTCCCGGCCGGGTGCCCACCCTCCCGCAGCCTCGGAGTAGCCTCATGGGGGACGGGGAGGGCCACCGAGAGTCTGTATTTCCTCGAGGCTGGACGTGTCCCCCACCTGCCCCCGCAACGGCTGCCTTACCAGAGCCTGGACGAGCCTGGCTTCGGCCTTCAACACCCCGCGGCGCTCCAAGTTACACATCTCTTTCATCTTCTTTCTCTTTTTCAAGATGGCGGCTTTCTGATGAGACGGGTCGTAGAGGTCAAGGCCGCTGGGCTCCCCCTTCTTTTTCTTCAGTCTCCTGCCCGGGGGCAGGCCGGCTGGACGGCCCTGCTGCTGGGGTGGGGGCCAGGCCAGCGCGGGGGGGCCGCTGCCGTTGATCGGGAGGGCTCCGAGCGTCCTCGGCCTCTTCCGGACCGGGGCTCCACTGGCAGGGGGTGCCGGAGGGGACGGTTCCCGGGCCTCGTCCCCCCGAGGCAGTGGTGGTGTGGACTCCGAGCTCTCGCCCTGGACCCTCAGGCTTCTCTTCCTCGGTCGTTTCCTCTTACCCTGTGCTGGGGTGGGCCCCGAAACGCTGTGCTCCTGGGGGCGAGGGGCAGCTGGTGCCCCCGGCTCAGCCGCAGGCATCTTCTGGGCTCTTCCTGGACTTCCCTCCGGCTCCCCGCCCCCGTTCTGTTCTGGGGGCAGGGCCGGAGCCCCCGACCCTAAATGCTCTGGCTGGAGATGGACCTTCTTCCTCTTTTTCCCTTTCCTCTTCTGAACGCTGCCTTCGCTCTCCTCTTCCTCAGCAAGGAAGGACTTGTTTCCTAGAGACACACACGCCAATGCACAGGTGCCCACGGCGGGGAGACGGTTTTCCCGTGTCCCACCCCCAGAAGGGCCCAGGCCCTCCGTGTCCCCCACACCCCGCAAGCGTTGTCGTGGGCGCCATTCCCTGTCCCAGCTGGGACCACAAACCCTCTTAAGGCCTGTTCCCACAGGGATGGGATGGCCATCACCACGGTTTTCAGGCCCTACGGCCCTCCCCACGGGCCTGAGGCGGAAACAGAATACAGGCTCCCGAGGGTGGGGTCTATCTGGTTCTCCACCTCCCTGCCACCACCCTGAAGCGGCCCCGAGGAGGAAATGAACACTTGTAGCTTAGGAGGCCGTAACGGTTCCACAGAAAACGCCACACGTTCAAAGCTGATGCTAGGCTCTGGAAGGACCTGGGGAGACCCGGCCCAGCCTGCCAGGGCTGCAGGGGCGCACGCCACTCCCCGCGGGCTGCCCGCGTCCTCCACCCCGTCCCGCGTCCACGGCAAGCTGTGCAGCTCACCTCCTTCTTCCTCCGGGTCGGTTTTCTCTAAAAGTTTATTTCCTTTTTTCTTGTGCTTTCCTCGGTTGAGTGTTTGGTCATCTCCCTCAGCAGAAATGTCCTCAGCAAAACTGAGCCGGGATAGGCTGCCTGCTGAACACCAAAGCCACTCTGGTCAGCTTAGAGACCGGCAGACTCTGTCCCCACTGGACACGGGAAGATTCCCCACCTGAGTCCTGTGTGCTCATCTGGGCTCCTCACCGCCTCCCCAGCCCAAACCTGCCAGCTACTGATGGGGACCGCGCACAACGGGTGACACCGTGGGGCCTGCCCGTCTCTGCACTGCAACCGGGGTTGGGCAGCTGCCCCCCATTCTAAGTGCCCAGGCGCACGGGGGGCTGGGGGAGCCACCGGCTCGCTCATGTCCCTGTGGACAACGGCTTTGCTCCAGGGGCTCAACTGACCACAACAAAGGAAAGGGGCCCCGAGAGCTTAACTTCTCTTCTTCCTAAGGTATCAAACTGGCACCTTCCTCGACCACCAGAAATCCTTCCCGCTAAGACAACGATGCCCCCCTCCCTCCGGCCTCAGGTCTGGATCCGCTGGGTCCCCGGGACGGGAAAGTGGGCTGGCTGGAAGAGGCCCGGCACTGTGGCTCTCACAAGGGCCCTGCCGAGCTGACGCCTTTCACAGGGAAAGGCTGCTATGTCTTGTGTTCCCAGTCAGTGTCACTCAAGCCGTGTCTCAGTATCTGGCATGAGCGTCTCAGTGGGGCCCTGCTCACGTAACGTCGTCAGGGCTAATCCTCAGACATTCTCACCTTCGGAGAGATCCCGAAATCTGAAAGAGAAATCAAGAGAAGTTCTGAGAAACCCCTTCTTTCCATGTTCTGCAAACACCTGCACATAATTTTTAAGATGTGCTATTTGGACGTGTGTTAAGTTCACTTCCTTCCCCTCTAGAAGGGGAGGCTTGAGGCAAAGGCCCAAAGTGGAGGACGAATCGCCCTCAACGCCGACATCCTCCAGGATGTGGTGATCCAGAGATTCTATCTTGGTTCGTTTACATAAACTGAAGAGATGAGAACTTCCTTCTTCAGGTTGAAGCTGCCCGTTTTCTTCTCCGTTCGCCCAGAGGAGAAAACGCTCCACCCGGTGGTGGTGTCAGGACAAAAGGGTGAGGGGCCGCGTGCTGGTGGGAGGCAAGGACTCCGGCGGCAGAGCACCGGGGAAGGGGGTGCGGACAGCAGGTCTGAGTCCAGCCCTGTCACCTGGTGGCTGCGGCCTCGGGCCAGCCGGTTACCTGCCCTGTGCCCCGGCCGGCCCATCTGTGAGGTCAGGAGTGACAGGTCTTCCGGGGCCTCTCCGAACATGACCTGATGCGTGTCAAGTGCCCCGAAGGGCGCCTGCTCTCACGGAGGACAGTTAACTTCGGGCGCCCCCTGCCGCCAACCATGGTGCTCTGTGCCAAACCGCTGGGATGGCCACAGTGACACCCACTACCACATCTGGCCCGGCTGCGGTGGGGGTGAGGGAGTGGGTTCTCGAAACCCCTGCCCACCTCGCGAACACCTAAGCAGCATACTTCATGCCCTCAGGACGCGGCCCGGGAGGGGAGCTACGGGCACGTGAAGCATCCGCTGCGGGGGGGGGGGGGGGGCAGCCGTGTGCGCGCAGCGCTGCTGCTCTGGCTACAGGCGAGGAAGGCCGGGCGGACGTCAGCGGAGCGCTCGCCAGTCACTCACTTCTTGATGAGTTTGGAGAGACGCTTCCTGTTGAAGGGAGGGGTGTTCTTCCTGTTGGTGATTTCCAGGAGTCGGTCAGCAACAGCCTTGTAGTCGAACTGCGTGAGAACAATGAGACGTAAACGAGACGTAAACCCGCAGCCAGACCGCTGACTTAGAAAGTCATTCCCACTGCTAAGAGAAAGCAGCAGCGTGGATTCCAGAAGCATCCAGCAACAAGACGGTCTTATTAAACACAAACGAGTGCTAAGGTTTGGCGACCAGATGGTTAAGCAGTATCTTTGAAAAATTTGCTGTTTGTTCTTGGGGAAACTATTCTTTACCTGCTTTATTTATTTGTTTATTTAAACAACAACAACAACAACAAAAGACCTGTGGGAAAACACACCACATAAAGTCTGCCTGGGGATGTGCTTCTTCGCAAATTCAGTCTCGGTGTCCAACTTACACTCGGTAACACGGGAACCTTTCCTTATGGGAGAAGCACTGAGCTGGCCTTGTCGTACGAATGGAACAGGTCCCAACGGTTCAAGCCAAAGTGAAGACTGACATCTTTCAAAATTCTGTCACGTTTACGTTTCTTTGTCTCCAATAAGCTCGTGTAAGGAAGGTGACTTCGGCGAGTGAAAGGATTAAAGACGACTTAATCCACAGGCAGGCCTTGTGGATAATGAGCTCTGACCCTAATTCCCAGCCGGCCGGGCCACTCCACGGCAAATCTACAGTCGTACCGACCTGGAGCAGGGGCCCGGCGTCCTCCAGGCGCCCGCCGCCTCTCGCCGCGTCGTCGCGGACGCCGTCCATCCTGGAGTGCTGCTGGGTCAGTGCTGTCAAAACACACCCAAGACATGGCTGCAAACACACGGCAACGACTACTTCCGGAGGAGCCACCGCCTCACTCACGTCTCCTTGCACAGAAGCCCCTGCAAATACACTTATGATCTCCCCAAAGAGTCTCGTTAGAGGAACTCTGGGAGAAAGCACACATTACACATTCTGCCTTTTAGTCACATCACAGACACATCAGCTGCCGCCCTCCGCGCCCCCGGCCCAAGGCCAAGGGGTCAACCTGCGGTTGTGGCAAAAATCTACACCGTTATTACACTAACTTCTCACGGAGCTGCTGCAGGAGACAGACTAATACCGATGCAACTTGTAGCAGTCAAAGGATAATTCAAGGAGTGCTGAGGCCCATGAAGAAGTAGATGAAGACTCACAATTTTTCAAATCCTGTGAGTTCGTTAGTGGTGTGGCCTCAGGGCACAGCCTGGAGAAGAGAGCAGGACCTTGTGCTTGCTAACAAGCACGACAGAGGAGGCTGGGAGAGTGTCTCTGGTTCAGACAGAAACAGGTCCCGTGACCACACGACACTTGCTCAAGGTCATCTGATTAATTCTGTCACCTACGTGGAATTTAAGATGAGACTTTTTCTCCCTTTTTAAGATAACGATTTTTCTGGTTAAAAAATAATGTACGGTCACTGTGGAAAACTTACAACAGACAAAAGTACAAAGAAAACAGAAGTCACCCATAACTGCCACGCACGACCAACAATTGACCTTTTGGTATCTTTCCAGATTTATTTTTATTTTTTTAAAGCTTATGTATGTATTTTGAGACAGGGAGCGAGAGAGCACGAGCAAGGGACGGGCCAAGAGAGAGGGAGAGACAGAATCCCAAGCAGGTTCTTCACCGAGTGTGGAGCCCAATGTGGACTTGAACCCACGAACCGTGAGATCGTGACCTCAGCCAAAATCATGAGTTGGACGCCTAACTGACTGAGCCATCCAGGCGTCCCTCTTTCCAGATTTTTCAAGACACAATGTTAAAAACACACTTGGCTCCTTGTACAGAGAGAGTTTAGTGTTCTGTTATTAAAAAACGTGTAAATTAAATCCCATTACTTTTTGAAATCTTTGCTTTTTAAGGGCTGAATGACATGTCAGTGCCGCACCGAGACGCCGTGAACCACCGCCAGATTGGATGGGCTGCAACTTGGGACGCAGGCTCCACGTGCAGCCGCTACAGACGCAGGAGCAGCCCGCACGGTGCCCGCCCACAGCGAGTGCTACCCACCCAAAGGGTAGGGGCCCTGGAGGGACCTGGGAGACCAGGCAGCAGAGCTACAGAAACAAGTGTGTGTTTGCAGTGTGACTGCTGAGGACCCCCTTGCAGACAGACACAAGTCAACATTAGGATGTTTTAGACATCCAAAAACCCACAACAATAAAAACAAATAAAAACCAAAGGAAGAGCAAAACGATGTAAAACCTTCGAGGGAGTCATGGTCCCGGGAGAAGGCACGTGCCCGCCACCCAGGGCCCCTGGGCAGGTGTGGGCCTTCCACGCAGCTCTGCGCCCTTTCTCTGGGGGAGCCCACGGCCGAGCCACGTGCGCTGACCTCCAGGTCGTAGTCAGCAAGATTCCAACACATATACCAAAAAGTGCTCATCCGATGAGAACTCTGTGTAAAAAAAAGGCTGCCGGAGGAAATTCTTACCGGTCTTCTTTCTACTGACGGTTTGTCTCCACACCACCTCGTTTTCAGGTGTTTCTTCTTCAGAGGGCTCACCCTCGCCCGCCTGAGGCTTCTGTTCCTCGAGGGTCTCTTCAGGTCCAAGAGGAGACTGGTCCACGATGACTTCAAGAACACCCCTAGCTATAGTCTGCACCAACGTCTGGCTGAGGGTGTGTAAGAAGAGCGACGAGAAGCTGGTTACAACAGAGGGCCTGGCCCTGGCCCTGGCCCTGGCCTTGGCCTGGGAGGGGTGTGGCGGGGAGAAGCCACCGGGCACCTGCTGTCACCCACTGGCGTCACCCACCGGCTGCCGCGCTCCAGAGCTGGCCAGGCTCGGCTGTGGCTGTGCAAGGCCGGGGGTGGGGCTCGCGGTCAAAGCAGGCAGGGCTGTGGCCGAGGGAGGGCGGGGCTCCTGGATGCGCGAGACCACACCGCAAAGCCAGTGGAGCCCAATTAGGATTCCGAGCTTCCAGAGTCCGGCTTCCAGCTATTCGGAGCTCAGCCGTCTGCGGCTCTGGATTAACCAGCCCAGGTACTCGCATGGCACTTCACAAGTTTACCACCATCACCCACAATGAAGCACCAAATGAAACAGAGAAAACAAACATGGCAACCACTTACTCCTTAGTCTTGGCAGCGACTTTGCAGAATGGATCAATGAACCTGAGATTCTGATCTGCCAAAAGCTGAAATTTAGAAACAAAATAGGGAAACAATGAGGGGAGAAAAAGAGCCTTTGCTTCTGATAGGTCCTAGAGAGAGTTTTCACGTAGGCTGACGAAGGTCAACGCCTCTCCCGGAGAGCCGCTTCCAAGATCCGCTCTGCGTGCATCATCCAGACGCTCTGTGCCAGGCTAAAGGTCATCTAAGGGCCACGGCTGTCTTCCAGCCACCGGGGCATCAAAGAACCCCCCCCCCCCCATCAACCCGTGCTGCTCTGCGTTCTCTCCCCTACAGACAGGCTCTGCTCGGACACCATCGGAAACAGTTCGGACCAAGGAACTATCCCTGCTTTCTTTTAATGAAAAGAACACGTGTTCACTGCGGAACACTCGTAAAATAGCGTGAAACTAAAACAAATAAAAAAGGCCTGCTAATTCCAAATGCAGATGATCACCTGCAGGCTAAAAACACGTCTCCTCTCCCGCACTGTCCATTCACGCGTAAACAGTGTTGGAAGAGGCGTGCCACTGGCACTGCTGCGTCTATGGCTCTTTCCCTCCTGCTTTTAAAGAGTCAACACCGCGAGCACATCCTGCTGTTACTACTGGACTGTGTAGGCGGCTTTCAACTGTTTTACGAGGAAGCCTTCCGAGAGCGCCCTCAGTGCACGATCCTCGTTCACGTGCCCCACTGGCCGCTTAGGATACATTCCCGCACGGGGAAGGGCTTGTCAAGTCGGGTGGGAGCGGCGCTGGGGACACAGGTGCCGACAGCAGCCTGTCCTCCGCCCTCCAGGCCCACGTGGGGAGGAGCCAGAGCCCGGACCAGGCGAGCGGCCGTGTCACTGCCGCTGGCGGGAAATCTGCTCCTTACCTCTCTCCCTCCCACTTTGGACAGTTCGTCCAGGTAAATGCCGATGAAGTGGAACTTCACTCCATCAGGAGACTGGCTCTCAGGGTGCAAGATCTCCTTCATCAAGACGTCTAAGAATAGCTTGATTCGGCTGAAGAACACAAAGCACACGGCTGCGTTAACCGCAGCGTGGCCGAAGAACACAGTCACGTTCACCCCCGGGGCCACACCGCCTAACACGACGCAAGGCTGAAACAGTGCCTCGAGGGAAAAGCAGCCACCGAAATCGGGCTGAAGAGCTGCGTGTGTGCTCAGCCCCGCGAGAAGCCTCTACCGGGCGGTGAGCTCTTCACGCGTGGGGAGCTCTGCCTCTCACAGCAGGTAAGAGAACAGGAGGCAAAGAGGAGGCACTTCGTACGACCTCATGGAAAGGCCTCGAACCCACTGCTACCTCGCAGGTTTCGAGGCTGCCCAGTGCCTTCCCAGATCCTTTACCGACCTTTCTTCCCAGCCATTTCGCTTGAGAACTTCAAAGGACTGCCTCAGGACCAGACGGATCAGCTAAAGACGGACAACAAATTGGTTACAAAAGGAAGAGCAAGGTCAGTCGGCACAGCAAAGACCCCGATGGAACTGCTACAGCCTGCATCTCCGAAGTGAAAACATCGTCGCGACAACCGCATTTACCTTTTCTTTTTTTTTCAATGTTTGTTTTGAGAGAGAGAGAGAGAGAGACAGAGGGAGACAGAATCCAAGCAGTCCCCACACTGTCAGCACAGAGCCCGACGCGAGGCTTGATCTCACGAACCGTGAGATCGTGACCCGAGCGGAAATCAAGAGTCGGACGCTCAACTGACTGAGCCGCCCAGGCGCCCTGCATTTACCTTTTCCTTTTCCGCAGAGAGTGTTAACTAAGGATCCCAAACTCCTCCCCAACAGCTGAAAGAGCAGAGCCGCCTTCGAGCACACGTTCAAACGCCCTCCCTGGATCGCGTTACCTCTCGACACACTAAGCCTGGAGCCCCCTCTGCTTCACAGATAAACCTTTTCCCGTTGTCCCTCAAGACGCTCAACATCCCCCCTTCAGGGGCTTCTGAAGCAGACGGGGTAAGGTGCTCAGATCTTACCATATAGTACTTGCCCAGGCGCAGCCGGTCTATCCCCTTCCACTCTCGATTCATCGTTTGCCAGAAGGTTTGAATGAACAGGTGTTCTGCAGTGAACAAGAGGCTTTGAATGCTTGGTGTTCACGCTCATGCGTTACCATAAAGCAAGAAAGTAACAGAGAAACAAACTAGCATCACTTATCATTTACGTTCTCCAAGGGTTTTCGGCAGCTATTTGGTCAATAATTAAATATGCTTGGTGATTTCCTTCATGTTTGAATAAAAACCTACTAAGATAGGAAGGCTGGTACTATCTTGATGTTCAACTACAATGCTCCGTGCGGCCTTTGTCTTTATCGACTTACAAGGCCAAGTCTATTACAATATTTCTATTAAATATTTTACTAAAATATTTTTGGTCTATTAAATATTTCTATTAAAATAAAAAACTCTCTGAGCCACGTCTACGGGCCCTTCCCACCCACCTACACCTAACAGTGGATCCAAAGCCCTTAATTTTGACGAACACTTGGACGAGCTGCGTAGAAACTCAGCTTTTTGTTTCATGTTCTGCGTCAGCTGGATGAGCTCTAACAGAACATTCTATTTTTCTCTTCTGGGCCATGAAACTACCACTTTTCCATCCAAAAATAACTGTTGATTTTCTCGGTTTGTTTTACTTCTTTTTGCATAATTCTTTCTTGATAAGTGAAAACCTAGACGATATTCCATGTGTGGAAGTCGGCTGGGACCTGGCTGAGACCTGGACAGCCACTGGGGTCACTAAGGCCGGGTGGATGGCTCTGCTCCAAGGAGCACCAAGCAGCACCCACCAACTCTGCCGTCTGTTTTTCCTTTGTCAGTGATCAAAGCCTGAACATCTCAGGAAGAATTCACCTCTCCCTCCGCTCTTTTTGGTACAGCGGGGCTGGCTATTTTACGGTTTATTACCAATGACGACCTCAACTGGCTCCGGTCTCCGGGAGGACAGCCAGGCATGCTGAGCTTATAGCACACATGGGCACAAGCACACATGGCCCCTGGGAGTGTTAAAGCAGCTCAGAATCTGGAGACTCTGGAGATTTTCATTTCTTAAACCACTGTTTTGAAATCTTTTGAGATGTCACCCGTGATTCAACCGCACAAGGTGCCTCTTTTATTTGCCCTCTTTTGGGATCAACATCTAAGCTCATCACGGCTCTCCCACAGGGAAGGTTTGTCGCCTGACATCTGCACACTGGAAGGAAGCCCCAGGTTCACGTGCAACAAGCCCCCTGGAAAACTGGAACTTGAAGGAAGGAGAAGAAACAATATTGCCTAGTTTCCTAGGCAAGTTACCAAAGCTGATGAACAAGAAAGTTGGGAAAGTCATGAAAACGTCAGGACTTACGGGCCTCCGAGTTGTTAACAACGTGGACGAGCTGGGAAATCGTGTTTGCTAGCTCCTCCTGCAAAGGTGGGGTCGGGGAGAGACAGCGGGGTTACTGGGCGGCAGCACGGTCAAGGGGACAGCACCCAGCCTGCTCTCCTCCCGCATCTGCTGGGGTCTGGACCTCCTGTCACGTCAGTATTTGAATTTTACCGGACGTGGAACTTCTGGTCCCAGCGGACTACAACGTAACATGCCCGTGAGGGTCACGCTGCCTGGTTAGAAAAGTATCTCTAGCTTCAGCTCCAATGACCTACAGGAGTAAACGAGCTGTCAATTCCTGGCTTCAAAAATATAGACCTTAAAGTGAGATTCTATTCTAAGCCCCCGATCCCGGAACACGGGAGCTGGCGAGGGGATCGCCGATGGGTAGACCCGGGGACTGCCACTCCGCAGGGGTGCGTGTGGAACCAGAAAGTCCTGTGCTGGGCTTGCTCGGAGGCAGGCCGCAGAGGCGGGGGTGCGGGGTGGGGGGGTGAAGCAGAGGTTAACGGCTCCCCTCCAGGCTCTGTCCAGGGCAAGGGGTCAGGTGCAGGGCGCCTGCTACAACGCAGCAAAGCTCATTTGTGGGGAGACTTGGGCAGGCTGGCTCTGAGAAGAGGCCCACCCTGGGGAGCGTCAGCGAGAGAATCCCGTTCACAAGTTACGTGAGAAAAGAACAGTCCTCCTCGGCATTCCTGGCGCTTCACCTGGCCTCGAGTCCTCTTCCCCCATTTTAACTGAACTCCAGACTGGAAAATGAGGCTCTCGTTCACGTTTTCTTCCTCCACTAAAGCTGTCGGCTGTTACTTTTGAATGTAACTTACAAATATTTTGCCCTGCTGTCCTACTCAAAATATGTTCGGTGCAGTAAAAGCAATAAATCAAAGCCCGCTACTACGGGGTCTGGGAAAGTGGCAAAGTTGCACATTAAAATCCAGACAAATACAATCTGTGGTGTTTTATCTATCGAAGCGTTTCACACCGCGCTCCTCAAGGCTTAGCCTCCACTAGCTGTTACACACCAGAACAAAGGTCTGTGGACACTGAAAGCCATTTCCCTACAGCGCCTTGGTGGTGGGGCTCAGGGTGCTTGGCAGACGGGTCCAGAAGCACGTGCACATCTGTGCGTCTCCACGGACTTCAAGGGTGGGATGTCGGGTGGGGGGGCCACCGCTTGCTTTACAGAGATCCTGGCCCCGGCAAGGTGGCTGCCCGGTCCTGGCACCCACTTAAATCATGGCAGAGGTGAGCCCAGAGCCCGGTGCTCACAGGCTCTCGGACCAGTGCCGTGCCCTTATCGACCACGAATAATAGAAGAGGAAACAGAAACTAAAATAAGTCACGTGACACCTACCGTGGAACCAGCCTATGAAAGCATGACAGCGAAATACCAGATCTCCCTTTATCCATATTCTTCGTTATTTGAAAAGGTGACTTGGGCACCGTGTCCCTCTCTAGATGGACGAGAGGTGGGCAACTGAACCCCGGGCGGTGACTGCAAGCTGTTTCTGTGCACGGGGGACCGACACAGCAGGGAACGAGCAAGCCCCTTCTATCCATCTGGGCCACAACACCCAGCCAGAGGACAAGGGAACTGTGTGTTACCTGTAGGAGGGGTTCGTCCTGCACCCACATGCAATAGAAGAGCCCTTTCCATATTTTTAGGAGTTCTTCTTGACTGAAACCTCCTAGGGGACAAAACAGCACAGACGTCTTACTTCAGAATCCTCCCATTTCCTGTCCCAGCATCTTGCGCTGCCTCACGGGCAGCGACAGCAATACCACATTTTCATTCTTTCGCCCGCAATGTCTTTTTAAATTTGAGGCACACACTTCCTTGTGGTACAAAATAAGCACACACAGGCTATGTCGTTTTATCATCTCATCCTGCACACCAACACTTTCATCAGTCGTCCAAAATAAAACCGCGAGTCCTACGAAAGATGAGGATTCGCGTCCCGTATACCCGGCCCCATGGAAACCGGCAGAGCTCTGGGACGTTTTTGCAAGGATACCTTTTTAAGGATCCTGCCACGAGGTCAAACTCGGCGAAACCCTGATCTCTTTCCCTCCTGGTTATGGTTTTCATTTACTGGGCAACGATAGCCTGTTTGAAGGGAGATCAACCTGGTTAGCCCTCTTCTGACTCATTTTCAAGCCCTGCACTATACCTCTGACTGAGCTACGAGTCACAGATAGCCTTCTAGGTCCTGGGCAGACCCCAGGTGTCATGGGGAACAAACACAATCCTCGAGTCTTGGGGCATGTTACAAATGGCCTGTGTTAATACTTCACTAGCAGGTACTAGGAAAAATCTTTCGGAATATCGAAGTAGGACAAAGGAGGCAAACCTCACAAGTACCTCACAATACGTATACATTTGGAATCAATGTAATTTCAACGTACCAAAAGAGAATTAAAAAGTGGCAAACAAATCCTTTTTGATGTACTGAAGTTTACTTAGTATATTCGGAGTGAGTTTTGCACCTTTAAAGATATTTACATACCTAGGTATCGGTTTCCAAGTTATTGAAGACCTTTTTCATATCAACAATTTTATTAGGGCACATTTTTGTTCTTTGTGATAGTTTCTCACTTAAAATCCATACACCAGAAACTACAGTGAAGTTTATTACATTTCCTTTAGGGGTTGGGCAAATCATGTGGCAACTGCCCCCCCCCCCACGCTTGTTATGGCACAAGCCACGCCTGGGCGCCTATCGCTGGCACAACTATGGCGCCAGTGACTGATTCTCCTGGACCCCCAGATCGGAGACCGCCACAGTCAGGACCACAGGAACTCTGTCAAAGTGACCTGTACTTACATTCAGTCATGTTAAAGACCAATGAATTTGGGGTTGGGGCAAGGATCACCAATGGCTGGGAAAGCATCAGATGAAAAAGCACAGTGGAACTTGGAATGGATACATGAGGCCGGCAACACCCAAACCTGCTGAGCCATCTGGGCCCGCGACGCCCGCTGGTCCTTCGGGGCCTGCAGACCCGACTCTCCATTCAATGCAGGATGTTAATGCAAAAGAAGGGCACAGCACCACCCGGTAAATGGTCTTACCAAAACGAACCGACATCATGTCGAATCTATTTAATATCAGCTTGGGGGAAAATACAGGGGACAGAGGAGTATGTCAGGTGAGACCATGGCATGTAGCTAGCAAAACCCCAAACACGAGAGACTCCATGGGGCAAATGGCGCAGCTCCTGCAACAAGCAAGCTCCAAGAGGAAAAACCACGGATGGGCGCTGCAGACCGAACGACCACAGACACACCGGTTCTTGCTTGGATTCTGATGAATCCCTGAAAAATGGAGATGATGATGGGAAAACCCAACAGATTAGGTATTTCATATAAAGGAGTTCTTTTAAAAAAGATGTGATAAGGGTACACATGTGTGGTCATGTTACAAAGAGTCCTCATCTTTTAGAGACACATACTGAGGTGTGTGGAGAAGAAATGAGATGTCTGAGATTGCTTCCTAAGGCTTTCTTTCGTGGGAGGAGGAAGTGGGCAGATTACACAAACCGGGTATTAATAGATGCTGCAGCAGAGTGACGGGTACACTTTTTATATGTTTGAGACAGTCGTAATAAAAAACAAGGAAACAAGTACTGTATGAGGTTACCACAGCGTTACCATGGGCTGTTTCCGTTCTCTTTGTGTAGAAAACTCTTCACAAGGGGACTAGAAAGCCATAACCACAGGCAAACTTACGAGCAAACAAGACTGAATGTCGCCGGTTCCTGTGTGAGGCCTGGTGCTGGCTATCCCCGTTTCTGCCATACTGTTTGCCCCTCCAGCGCTGCCCCCTACCAGGCAGGGCCCAGCGGGGGAGGCAGGGGTCTAGGTGGGGCTCGCCAGACACAGAGGGGAGCCGGCAAGCTGGGCTTATTCCAAATTAGCGTGAGTCCTCTTGGCCACAGGGCTGGTTCAAGGCACAGACGACCTCCTCGCCGAGGCTCCTGCTCAGGCTTCAGGAGAGTCGCTCTCTCCCAGCAGACTGGAAGGGGACACAGTCCGCACCTGCACTCGGCCACCATGCCACTTGCTGGGGAGCCTGCCTGAGAAGGGAGCCGATCTAGGGGAGCAGAGTCTGCTGTGTAGGAAACAGTTCTGGCACTATCAGTCGAGCTCCTGCATGAGGCCGTGCTTGGTTTTTCCCCTTAAAACTAGTTTGGCTTGGACGTTCTGTCAAGTTGTAACTGAAAGAGTCTCATTCGATAACACACTTTTATTGCAAAAAATTCCTATTCATATATTACACCAGAAGTTACAGAATCAAAGGTGCCTTGTTCACTACCTCCTGGACCCCAGAGGGACCACTGCTATCTGCCTGATGTACATCTTTCCATCCAGATCTTTCTTGTGCTTCGACATAATACTTATATGCAGCACAGAAATGCACAGATGCATAGCTGTGTATATAACCCGAAAAGCATCGCATGTTCTACATACTCCAAATTCTGGCCTTTTTCACTTAAAAATAGCACAGTGTATGTTTATCTCCGGAGGACTGTTCTAAGTGCACCCGTGTGTCAAATCAGCACCGAGTGACGATGCGACAGACCAAGTAACTGTGCAGAACCCACGCTTGTAGGAGTTGGAGGTGCGGCAAGCTCTGGAGAGGCTTATGTAACGGAAGACTGTGGATTTCAGCAGAGTAGCAGAGCGAGTGGATCCCAGACGGCGGGCAGGAAAGGGGCTGCACGTGAAGACATATTCTCAGTGTTTCACCCTACGTGAGGCAGCAAAAGTGTGGTGGTCACAAACCCACGGTGAGGCCCCAGCTTGCTACTTACTAGCTGTGCTGCGGCAGAAAACCGTCAACGAGCCCGTGGGCCTGTGTCCTCGCCTACAATACGTGCACGGCTTATGGTCGGGAACAAAACTAAAAGCACGTATGAGAAGCGCTTCGTAAGAGTGAAGCACGACCCAGTTGGCAGGTGTTCGGATTGTCTCATGCTCTCCACCCATAGGCCACTGAAGCTCTTTTCCCTTTGGAAACATGTATTTTCAATATACGTAGAAAAACCACTCATTTTCACCCAGGAGTTTAGGTGGTAAAAACCAAATACCAGTTTCTTTTAAACTTGTTTTTAAGTCTTTTTAAAATGTTTACTTACTGACAGAGAGAGAGAGAAAGGGAGAGGGAAAGGGAGAGGGAGAGGGAGAGGGAGAGGGAGAGGGAGAGGGAGGGAGAGAGAATTCCAAGCAGGTCCGTGAGGAGCCTGATGTGGGGCTCGATCCCAAGAACCTCGAGATCATGAGCTGAACCAAAACCAAGATTCAGAGGCTTAACCGACTGAGCCTCCCAGGCACCCCTGGGGTTGAGTTTCTTTAACTTAATGTCGCTTAAGTTTCTGGCAACAACATAGGTTTAGTTATTTCACAACAAACGGGGTGAACATGAAGTGAGACATGGGCTGAGTAAATTCCAACAAGCTGTGAAATGAGAAAGCCTGACGGCCACTGTCAGCACACGATGAGCTCAGGAGCCATGTGAGGTGGGGGTGAGTCCACACCAGGGTCAGTCAAAACATCCACAGCTCTCGGGGAGCCTGGGTGGCTCAGTCGATTAAGCGTCCAACTTCGGCTCAGGTCATGATTTCATGGTTTGTGGGTTCGAGCCCCGCGTTGGGCCCTGTGCCGACAGCTCGGAGCCTGGAGCCTGCTTCCAATTCTGTGTCTTCCTCTCTCCCTGCCCCTCCCACTCTGTGTCTGTCTCTCAATAATGAATAAATGTTAAAAAAAAGCAAAAACAAAAAAACAAAACCACATACACACACACATCCACAGCTCTCATTTATTCTCACTTCTCGGTCCAGGAACCCCCAAACGTGTCAGAATGAAGAGACACTTCCCCCATCACTGTATCTGAGACCCCGGCAACTCTCAGTTGTACAGTTATTTTCTGTGTCACCAAATGAAAGAGGGCAAATAAAAGTCACGAGGTTGACTTCAAGATACATCTCAGTTTCTGTAGATGTCAAATGTTTCAAGTTGCAGAATCAATAAAACTGGGGGGGAGGGGATTTGTCTTTTTTGTTCACTGCCCTATCCCTGGAGCCAAGAATAACAATAGCACGCAGTAAGTGCTTTGTGTTTGCTGAAGACAGACGAATGACCTCTCATGAGTAAAACCACAGACAGTGGTCATTCTGTGAGTGTTCTGTGTGAACAGTTAAAGCACCAGAGCAACATTTAGCTCCTTTAAGCACTACAAAGATTTCCAATTTGTTTCCAAAATTACAAGGCTACGGGGGCGCCTGGCTGGCTCAGTCAGTAGAGCATCTTACTCTTGATCTTGGAGTCCTGACTTTGAGCCACATGCTGGGTGTAGAGGTTACTTAAAAACAAAAAATCTCACAAAGCTATTTATGTTGCTCACGGGCAGTTCTTTGTATCAGTAACATTTGAGATTTTATTTACTATGCCCGAGACAAAAGGCAACAGACTTTGGGCCTGCCAGTGAGATGCAAATGTCAGGACAAGTTATTTCCCACCTTGCATCTCACGTTGATGGGAGCATAGTGGAGGCAGAGGCCTTGCCTATTTTGCCGCGCCTGCGACATTCGCCTTGCAGCTCCTCTTATGCAGGCCCAGCGTACTCCACGC